CGTGAAATAATCGGCATTATGATTAACCGCGTTTCAGCGAGACGATTATTCCGGCAGTGCAACGTGCCACGGTGACGTTTAACCGATATCGCTCGTCCCGACGAGTCGTATCACACCGATCGATTTCCTCCGACTTTTTGGAAATACTGTGCTTTTCACAAAACGTTGATCCACTTCGTGGAATCGCCAGGCAATGATTCGGAACGAACGATGCCGCGCGGCGAATGAATTCGTTGATTCGAAATTCTTTTTAACCGAGGGTTTTATAGGTAAAATTAGGGAAAGATATTTGTTTCGAATCGCTGCCTGTCCTAACCTCAATGTGCAAAAGACTCAGCCACGCGGTCTCTCGTGGGATTCTCGGCATCAAAGCTAGTAAAATTACGCAGCGAACGTGTCCGGTAGTTACAAGAAAAAGTTAGACAAAGTGCAACGCACAACAAGAACAACGAGGCCTCAGGCTGTTAGAAAATTATTAGAACGCGAACCGTCGCGTGGCGAACGCCGGGTAACGTGACAACATTTTTTTTCTCGAGCTCGCTGGATTCACTTAACCATTCTCAATTCCGATTCGTTATACTTCTTTAATTTAATCGAATTTTTAATAATATTTTATGCCGCGGAATTTAATTTTGTTGTTATTATTGTTTATCTTTTACTGGCGTGATTAATAACATTTCCTTTACTGTATAGTTTTGTATTTAATTTATTTGTACAGGGTGTCCCAGAAATGTTGTAACACCTTGAAAGAGGTGGTTCGAGAGGTGATTTGAAACAACTTTTTCCTTAGCGTAAATGTTGTCCGTGGCTTCGTTAAGGAGATATTAACAGAAAACATCGACCAATCAGAGCGCAAGGATGCCGATGGAGGGCTCGCGGTAGCCAATGAGCGCAGGCGCCTAGCGCGTAGCCTACGCTCTACTGGCATACTCGCGCTCTGATTGGTCAGTGTTTTCCGTTAATATCTCCGTAACGAAGTCTCGGACAACATTTTCGCTAAGGAAAAAGTTGTTTCAAATCACCTCCTGAACCACACCTTTCAAGGTGTTAGAACATTTTTGGGACACCCTGTATATACAGGGTAGAGGTGATTTGAAACAACTTTTTCCTTAGCGAAAATGTTGTCCGAGGCTTCGTTAGGGAGATATTAACGGAAAACCCCGACCAATCAGAGCGCGAGTATGCCGGCGGATCGCTCGCGGTAGGCGTGGGCTACGCGCTAGGCGACCGCCCTCCGTTGGCGTACTCGCGTTCCGATTGGTCCGCGGTTTTCCATTAATATCTCCGTAACGAAGCCTCGGACAACATTTTCGCTAAGGAAAAAGTTGTTTCAAATCACCTCCAGAACCACGCCTATCAAGGTGTTACAACATTTTTGGGATACCCTGTATAATATAAATCTTACGACTATGCTTATACATTATCCATTTAGCTCTAAGCAACAACTTAAATACACGCCTCCCAACGCACACGCAAAACATACTTACCAACTAAAGGAAGCCATTATACCTATAACAAATTTCTACCAAACATAATCATAGGAAATGTTAAATCGACGTAATACGCGAATAATATTCACGTGTTGAATCGTAGAGAAATAAAAGTAAAAAATAAAAAGTGGAACGATAGGGCGTAGGGTGGTCCAGTAGGGCAAAGCGTTGACTAGTGACCCGCAGGACCCGAGTTCGAATCCCCCCGGCGTACCTTATTTATTTTTCGTACAGACTCTGCGATAGTAACGACAAAAGATGGTTGTATCGTCCAACGCCAGCGTCGCGTGAGTAGAGGGAAAAGACTAACGAGATTATTATCCATTAATGGCGCGCCGATCGGGTTCCTCCGCGAGAGGGGCAAATCGAAGGAGAAAACGGGCGAACAGAGGGATACGAAGGGATAGGGAAACGGGTAAAGAGATAGGAAAAGAAAAATAGATCCGCGATAGGATACTTGTAACGAAACCGAGTAAAAATGTCCTATCGAATCATCGTCTCAGCGAAAAAGGCTCCGCCTGTCGATATTTAACGAATTATCCCGGGTGCGGGTAAATATAAATCTACTCCAGGTCGGATCGTATGTATTATGCATGAGTTGCAATGTAGCTGTCCCCCTACAGAGGTCGGATAACCTAACCCGTCGAGTGCCAGCAAGTGTTCAATATATCCTAGCCCTATCGATCTCGTCGACCGAGCGCGAAAAGACGCGAGAAACGGGACATAGATAAGTAATTAATATTCTCCGGACACGGTTAATAAAGCGCGACAAAGTCGCCCTCTCTGGGATCCCGTGCACTTGAAACGAGTCCGAAGAAACAGGCTAAAAGACTAGACCATCGTGCGCGATAGGTGTTGGGTAAGCTACGTACTCTGATCACTGGATCGAGAGGCGTTGGGAGAAGGGATTAGAGAAGATGGGGGCAATGGGCGCTGCAAAATCAGAATTCGCCTTTACGTAGACCTAAGCACTGTCGAATATTAGGGATTTTGAGGATTTTGTTTCATCGAATATGTGTCTATAAATAGGATAATGCGTTTTGTTTTCTGCTATTGACATAGTATGAGAGGTTAAAAAACGCGCGTTCAAATACAAACAGTACTGTAGTTTGTCTGAAAATAATTGATTTATATTACTTTATGATACAATATAAATATAATAGACATAATAACGACTAAAAACCAATGTTTGACATAATTTTTTTTTTATTTTGATATAAAATTGCGATCAATTGTAATATTCTAAATACTATGCCAGATCTACTACTACGTGAATCAAGCGACAATAGTAAGTCTACAGGGTGTCCCAAAAATGTAGTAACACATTGAAAGGGGAACCCGACCAATCAGAGCGCGTGTATACCGTTAGAGCGGCCGTGGTATCGAAGACTACGCGCTAAGCGCGTACTTTCCATCGGCATACTCGTGCTCTGATTGGTCAGTGTTTTCCGTTAATATCATCTCAACGAAGCCTCGGGCAACATTTTCGCTAAGGGAAAAGTTGTTTCAAATCACCTCCTGAACCAACCCTTTCAAGGTGTTACAACATTTTTGGGACACCCTGTATATACATGGTGGAGGTGATTTGGAACAACTTTTTCCTTAGCGAAAATGTTGTCCGAGGCTTCGTTACGGAGATATTAACAGAAAACCGCGGACCAATCGAAACGCGAGTACACCAGCGGAGGGCGGTCGCCTAGCGCGTAGCCCACGCCTACCGCGAGTGATCCGCCGGCATACTCGCGCTCTGATTGGTCGGGGTTTTCCGTTAATATCTCCCTAACGAAGCCTCGGACAACATTTTCGCTGAGGAAAAAGTTGTTTCAAATCACCTCTACCATGTATATACAGGGTGTCCCAAAAATGTCGTAACACCTTGAAAGGGATGGTTCGGGAGGTGATTTGAAACAACTTTTTCCTTAGCGAAAATGTAATCCGAGGCTTCGTTGAGAAGATATTAAGCGATAACTCCGACCAATCAGAGCGCGAGTATGCCAGTAGACCGCCCCACGGTAGGCGTAGGCTACGCGATAGACAGCCGCGCTCATACGCTACCGCGAGCGCTCCATCGGCATACTCGTGCTCTGATTGGTCAGTGTTTTCCGTTAATATCATCCCAACGAAACTTCGGGCAACATTTTCGCTAAGGAAAAAGTTGTTTCAAATCACCTCCTGAACCAACCCTTTCAAGGTGTTACAACATTTTTGGGACACCCTGTATATTGACTTACAGCGTATCTGTAGAGCCTCCTTAACGAACAGGCCTTTCGTATAATCCGCTCGCGATCCGGTCTGAATCGCCACGAAATATCGCACAGATTGTGAAATTTCATTTCATGGTCAGGATTTCCGTAAAGCAGCGCGTTCTCTCATCCGCGAGCAGCCGCAACGTTCGATCAATTGTCGTGTCAATTTCGATCAGGGACTGGAAGATGGAAATTCGTTTCGACCGCAGCCGCAGGAAAACAATTTTCTGCCGCTGTCATATATCCCTGAAAACACACGGTTCAGGCGAAAATCACGTAGCATTCTCGCGGAGGCGAAATACACCTTGAGCAGGGCGCCGTTGCGAGTACGTATTCGGTTCGGTTCGCTTAGAGCCGGTTCTAACCTGAAAATATCGAGACACGAACGTCAAAGATTCCGATAAGAGATTCATCTGTATAAAATCACTCCGTGGTGTATCTCGTCTTATACGAGACACATTGATCAGAGCACAAAAATACGAAGACGCGGTTGAATTTGTTTAATAATGGAAATAATCGTGACGAAGTTTCGTTGATAATCTACACGCGGAAATTGGATGTCTGAATAATTAGCGGGATTTAATGGATTTCGGATTTCGCGAAAATAGCGGAGATATTAGAACACTAGGCTGATTTCAATATTTGATTAATGTAATTGGGTTGCTCGACTATTCGAGAATTCGGCGATTAATGTATTTGAAAAAATATCGTCAAGTCCTGCTCGAGTGCCGTTTAAATATTAAGTGGTCCGCTATCGATGATATCTTACCGCGGGCCGTGAATGAAATTTCACTTTTCGGGCGAGTAATCAAATGATAGTCTATAATACGATCGTTATTTTCATCCACCGACGTACACTTGGGGTAATGATACGACATACTGTATAATACGTTGGTTAGATTCTTTAACCACGCGTTATTTCTGGCCAGCGAAATATTAATAAAGTGTAAAGATGCCACTTTTACGCGTGGCCATTTAAACTTTTTATAGATACAATTTACATTCACTATAATGCCATTCGGTATACGATTCGTAGCCAGGCATTTATGAATGACTCGATGCATTACGGTAAATGATGCTCGACTTTACAGTAATTCATTTGTTGGATTCATTCTTGTTCGTAATATACGCGTAATATTCATATATCCCTATTTTGATAAAATTTGTCCAATTATATATAATGACTTTCAAGGAGTGATATTCCGAGACGTTTGGAAAAGAATGGTAGCGCGATTAAATGTCGTCGCTTAATCGAAACATTCGACACGAATAAAGTCCGTAATCTGTCCGTTGGCGCGCATACTTTCAAATCGCGCGTACTTTTCCATTGCTACGAATTTTTCTGTTCGGCGTCGAAACGTTCATTTGAATGAGTTTGGGTAAACGACGTCTGTCTCGAGCCCTGACAGTTCGAATTTCGGTCAACCATTTACCGACGTGACGAATTAATGCATATAACGTTTGCACGGATCCGAACTAATTGACAGTTTCTATTATTGTTCCGAAATCGAGAGCAACGTCGTTGAATGCACGGTCGAAGCTGGAATGGCAGCGCGAGCGTTCCGGCTGAAAGCGGCGCGCATGCGTCGCTTGGCGAACGTCACGCAATTGGTGGGGCGCCGTCTGACGTCGATCTCCGCGTGAGCCAATCAGCGGCCGTGGCTGGTCGACGTTAGCTCGGCGTGCCGAGGCGAACTTCAGAGGCGAGGTGGACCGACTGGTATGTGCAACACGGCCAGGGCCCCCCCTCCCTTCTCTCTTTCACTCGCTCGCTCTCTCGTTCCCGTGCTCTCCACGCGACTTCCTCAAATCTTTATTTCAGGCTCGACCGCGAACTGGTCGAGGCGCGCGGCCCGCTTTTTTACCGTCCGACACGACGCTTCTAAATTTGAATCTTGTACGGAGCAGTGCGAATCGACGGCTCCGCCGCACGTGAAAAATATTTTAAGAAATACGTGCGTTTCTAGTCATCGTTTCTAGTCAGCCAGGACATTCTAACCTAGCTAACCTGATTTCTTGGTAAGCCGTGGGTCCCGAGGAATCGCCTTCTGCCCAGCGATATTCGCGTGCACGTTATAAACACTGGTCGACACAGGGATCGAAGAAAGAAGAGAATAATAGCAGCGAAGACAAGAGGAAGACAGAGAAGGATCGGAGATAAAAAGTTGTTGGTCGTTGCGAATCGAATATACGCGATTGGCTGTTTCGTCGGATGTGTTTGACGAACCGATGAAATCCCGGCGTGCGAAGTGACGCGTGTTGATTCGATCGCCAGAAACGAGTGCAAGTTGATCCGTGCCAAAAAGCTCATGTGTTATTTCGACGTAATCGCTTCGAGGAGAAGTTTTGTTTTGATCTTATAAATCGTACCTTTCGCGAGGAGGGTGTTAGTGGGGAGATATCGATCGCGGGACCATTGACGTCCGTTCTGGAGAACCGAGCTTTTCTCCTCGCTCCTTTGACTAGACTAACCTCTCGATAATTGTATTTTCTCACTCGTAGCTGCATATATGTCTACACACGTATGTCGCGTACATAACCTGAACGTGTGTGTCCGTGCGCGTATACTTTGACGCGCGTACGTCGTTTTCCGTGTACGTGCACCAACGAAAATTAGATGTTTGTTTGGCGAACGAGCAAATTGAAAAACGTGCCTGTTGCGAAGTAAACTGGCGACCGATGGAAGCTGTTCCTCGATTCTCTGGTTCAACGTTTCCCGAAACGAACCGGATCGACAAATAAACACGAAAGACTCAGCGAGACGGAGAATCCGATAGACCGAGAGTATTTGTGAATTATCAACGTCTAACCGACCGAGTGCCTGATTACGATCGTTCGATTAAATTGTGCTAGCAACATCTGTGAGAAGTGCGCGATCTCGCCATCTTTGTTTTGATATCGATTCGGTTCGCGCACCAAGATCGATCGATTGGAGAACGGACTTCGAGATGTTCGACTGATCGAACTACCATCGAGTCGGTAAGTTATCGTATAAGATCCTTCCTAATTAATTATGCGTCGCAACTGTCTCGAATTATTTATCGCCAATAAAAACATACTGGATCAAAGAAATTATCGACACCATTACTTTTATTTAAATATCTTTACTCGGAGAAAACATAGGTTCTGGCGTCCCACGCTGCGGGCAAATACCAAAATTCTGGACAAAAATCAACATTTTTGAAATATATTGCAATAATGTAAATATATTGCTATTTATTCATACAAAAAATTAAAATTAAAATTAACCATAAACATTAATAAATTCACGACGAAATTAACAAAATTGACAAAAAATTAACAAACCCCTATTTTGATGAAACATTATTACATTGATTGCTATTTATTCACAAAAAATAATTAAAATTAACCGTAAACATTAATAAATTCACGACGAAATTAACAAATTTGACAAAAAATTAACAAACCCCGATTTTGATGAAACATTTATTACATTGATTGCTATTTATTCGCAAAAAAATAATTAAAATTAACAAATTTAACAAAAAATTAACAAACCCCGATTTTGATGAAACTTTGTATACTTGTTTGTGGGGCCTTCTTATGAATTACACCATCCTCAGTACGTGCGAATTTTGCGTTCTGAGGGAGAAATTAACCCTTTCGTCCGAACCGCCCCTTTTACTTTTCCTCGGAAACGATCAGAGATTTCAAAAAAATGTTCGAATAAACATTACACTATTTTTAGAGGCCCATAAACCAATACAAACAAATTTGAAAAAAACAAACAATTTTTTTTTAAATAATCCCCCCTCTGGAAATTTTTGAAAATTTTGATTTATTTCTGGATTAGTAAAAGCGCTTTTTTATTCTGAATCCAACGGTATGTACGAGGTTATGATTATCATACAGAAAAATGATGTAATATTGTAAAATTGTCGCTTTAGTAGCCTATATTTCGAATTCTTCAGGAATTTCTTTCTCGTAAATAATACAAGTTGCACCCATACGTTACTTAACAAAAAATGCTTCATTTTGGCCGAGGATGCGAGAAATAATTTTTCCAGAAATCCATAAATCAATTAAATCAGAATTTTCAACTTCCAATTGCGACCCTACACCAACAGTACGGTCTCTTATTAAAAATTATGTAAAACCGAACGTTGCAAGTATTTGCAAAAAAGACTTACAAGTTTCTTAAAATATAAGAAATAATGTATCCAAATATGCTGAGAACACAGAATATATTTTGCCATTTTGTCTGTGTGTTTGTTTAAAGATAAAGATTGTATTATGGATACAGATGATTGATACATGATTATTTCTAACAATTTCCACGCTGACACACATTTTCTACGTCAGAAATCTGCCTCGCATTGTGATACATGGATATTAATATTGAATTTTGTCCACTTATTCCGCACCGTGCGTCCTGTGGTGTGTATTAGTAGTATTCGGAATACAAAATACCTGCAGTCGATTCTCGCATCGATTGTATTACTATTTTCATAGGTTATTGAATCTTTCTTATTTCATTCAACGTATTCTACGTACAGTGACTCGCGAAAGTATTTGAACACTTAGTACGAAATACTTAATTAATTATTATAGGTATATTATATAACATTTACTGAATATTTATTAACACTGTAAGGAGGTACGACTCTCCAGATTATATAGGTAAACTTTCAAACGAAACGACACATGTAAACAATAGGTACGAATTATTTCCTGTAAACACAGAGATTGCTGAAGCCACAAAAGTATTTGAACACACAAGAGTGGGTTCCGAGAATCAATGAAAACTCAGTTTTTCGGTCACTAAATGTAAACATTGATTGTTGTTAGTCGTCGTCGTGCATACATTTGTCAGTCTGAGTCTAGCATTCATTGTGAAATAGTACGATATTGATCGTGTGTCCAAAAACAACTGAAATTCCTGAAGGTAATAGAAAATTAATCGTCGAGTGGCGTAAAGAAGGAAAGACGTATGAAATAAGTGTTGAAATACTTTCGTGAGTCGCTGTATTAACGCACGTTTCGTATTAACGTACTACGTACGTAACATGTATAAACGATACATAAAAATTATTCAAAGGAAAATGAACGTTCGCCTCGTGTAGTTGCGAACTAGAGATAGATCGAGCACGGATCGAATTCGTCGCGATATCGAGATAACGTGTCGATCCGGTTGCGGATGAACAAGTGCCAAATGGTTTGGCAAAGTTCAACGCGTCATGCTATATGCTAAATCCGCGCGACGAGAGCTGTTTAACTATGATAAAGCCCGTCTTATCACGGCCTGTGTTGGCGCTCGTATCGAAATTGGTACATCGAATTAAAGTAGTTCGTCTCCGACTTGGCCCGAGTTCTACGTCTAACGCTTCGAGCCAGCCGTGGTTTAACCCTTCGAGTACGCGTATATGCGTTCGGTGAGAGCTACCACGGCCATGCACGTGTATATACGTTCGCTTTCGAGACGCAATTACGAAGAGGATAGATTCACGACCCTCAGCAACAACAGCGTGCATTTTACCAAATGAATCTCAAACTGTTTTTCACGGTCGTTAATGTCGTATTATTTTTCATATTCCGAATTAGTTGTTATATTAATTGTTATAGTATCTTTCATATCGTTACGTTGTACTGATGCATGAATATTAATGTTGAAATAATTATTAGCGATATGGATCAGGAGTAGAGTCGTTCCTCGTCCGATCACCGAAGTTAAGCGTCGTCGGTCGCGTTCATCGTAAAGATGGGTGACCGGTTATTTTATTATATTAAGTCACTTTAGGAGCCCGTTTCTCCGAACATGTTCGAATTGTTAATTTAACGAAGGGGTGGAATACAGTCGGGAATTACGGTAAAGGTTGGTGCTTGAACTTGTGTGTGTATGTATGTTCAACAGGGAAAATGCAGCATGTATAGAAAAATACACGCTGGTCGCTGACCCTCGCTACCTGCACGTTCTCTATGCTCTTGTATAATAAACTGAATTCGATCGGACGACAGCTCTAGCGGCAAAAAGCTCCCTTCCTTCGGTTCTCTATATGTTCCTTGTATTGTCACCCAGCGAAGAAAGCCACCGATTCTGCTGCTTTTCTTCGTAAACCTTCTCTATCATTCTCACGAACACGTCGGTATCGTAATCGCGGACCTTTTTCGAGGTGGAGAAATCGTACAGCAATTAATTCTAAATAATTAATGATAAATAGAAAAACCACATGTTCTTCAATTTTCCCCGGGACATGGATCTCAAGAGAAAGCGATCAGTGATAATTCTTATTCGAACTACAGTTGCGAACAAATGAACGAAATCTATAGCTAATAAATACAACGAATTCATACTCTATCTGCTAAAGAATAAAACGAAAGCTACGAGTAGATAACGAGAAAGAATACGTAATTACGAATTACATGAATGCGATGTGTTACAAGTATTCTCGTTACTTTATCCGTCGTAGGTAGAATTTCTGTATTCTTTCTGTGCTACCGTTGTTAAAAATAGATACGTTTGCAATGTGCTCGGTCACATGCTTCGGTTCTATACTTTATTAGATTTCTGCTCCGGTGCAGTTTCGTTGTATCGCTTCCAGCACACCTGATTAACAATACATTCGCCGGTGTGTAATAATAAGAAAATAATTAGGAAGAGAAAGGAAGTGGGAGATTTAGATGGATTTCGATTCTCGTGTACACATCGAACGAGAGTGACGACTTGATGACAGAATCGTCAATTTTCTTGGTACACAGCGAAACGCGTCAATGTAAAGAGAGGATACAATCTGATCGCTCGATCTCGATCATTATTTGTCTAACCGTTGTAACGTGTAAATCGAATCGCGTGCACGACGTGCGACGATATCGAATCGCGTCGATCCGATCGCGAATGTCAACGGATTCTCGAGTGCGATATAATTACTATCGGTGACGGTGCAACATAATTTCGCGATGCACAAGATAGGCGCGACAAAAATAACGTTTGCCCGTGAAACGCGCGTTAATTCATATAGCGAGCGATCGCGTGCTCGGAATGAATGAAAGGGGCTTCGGTAAATATAGTTGATGGTGCTTAGAATTAGAACGAAGTTAAAGCCAATGTTTTTACTAGACTCGTCCCAAGCCCACTCGAGCCACCGCTTCGAGTTTTCGGCTCGGCCGAAACACGATTCATCGAAAGCGATCGATAAGTGGCGGCAGACCAAGTCGAGCAACTTGAATTTCTCTTTGAAACGAATAGAACGAGGAAACTGTTATTTTAATCGAGAGTTCGCACAGTGCGGATTAAGTGGACAAAATTCAATATTAATATCCATGTATCACAATGCGAGGCAGATTTCTGTCGTAGAAAATGTGTGTCAGCGTGGAAATTGTTAGAAATAATCATGTATCAATCATCTGTATCCATAATACAATCTTTATCTTTAAACAAACACACAGACAAAATGGCAAAATATATTCTGTGTTCTCAGCATATTTGGATACATTATTTCTTGTATTTTAAGAAACTTGTAAGTCTTTTTTGCAAATACTTGCAACGTTCGGTTTTACATAATTTTTAATAAGGGACCGTACTGTTGGCGTAGGTTCGCAATTGGAAGTTGAAAATTCTGATTTAATTGATTTATGGATTTCTGTAAAAATTATTTCTCGCATCCTCGGCCAAAATGAAGCATTTTTTGTTAAGTAACGTATGGGTGCAACTTGTATTATTTATGAGAAAGAAATTCCTGAAGAATTCGAAATATAGGCTACTAAAGCGACAATTTTACAATATTACATCATTTTTCTGTATGATAATCATAACCTCGTACATACCGTTGGATTCAGAATAAAAAAACGCTTTTACTAATCCAGAAATAAATCAAAATTTTCAAAAATTTCCAGAGGGGGGATAATTTAAAAAAAAATTGTTTGTTTTTTTCAAATTTGTTTGTATTGGTTTATGGGCCTCTAAAAATAGTGTAATGTTTATTCGAACATTTTTTTGAAATCTCTGATCGTTTCCGAGGAAAAGTAAAAGGGGCGGCTCGGACGAAAGGGTTAATTTCTCCCTCAGAACGCAAAATTCGCACGTACTGTAGATGGTGTAATTCATAAGAAAGCCCCACAAACAAGTATACAAAGTTTCATCAAAATCGGGGTTTGTTAATTTTCTGTCAAATTTGTTAATTTCGTCGTGAATATATTAATGTTTATGGTTAATTTTAATTTTAATTATTTTTTTCCGAATAAATAGCAATCAATGTAATAAGTGTTTCATCAAAATTGGGGTTTGTTAATTTTTTGTCAAATTTGTTATTTTTGTCGTGAATCTATTAATGTTTATGGTTAATTTTAATTTTAATTATTTTTTTTCAAATAAATAGCAATCAATGTAATAAATGTTTCATGAAAATCGGGGTTTGTTAATTTTCTGTTAAGTTTGTTAATTTCGTTGTGAATCTATTAATGTTTACGGTTAATTTTAATTCTTTTTTGTGAATAAATAGCAATCTATGTAATAAATGTTTCATCAAAATCGGGGTTTGTTAATTTTTTGTCAAATTTGTTAATTTTTTGTCAAATTTGTTAATTTCGTCGTGAATCTATTAATGTTTATAGTTAATTTTATTTTTGTTTTCGTGCGAATAAATAGCAATATATTTATATCAGTAATAGAATTTTGATTTTCGTCGGCAATTTTGCTACTTGTCCGCACCGTGGATCGTTTCCATCGAATCGTAGGTCCCAAAGCAACGAAATATTTGTTATCGTTCTGTGTATAGTCTTCGTACCTGGGTTTTGTTTGTGTCGTTAACACAATACTGGTTATTCGCTGAATAGGAGAATTTAATAAATAGATGCGATCGTCGGTCTAAATGAGACAGCGCGATTAATAAAAATTTCCACGAGCCCCGAATTAATTCGAAACGATTGTTTATCGGTCCGAGCGTTCTACACTGTATTAGATAAAGACCTGGCTATGGAGATCTCATCGTATGTAATCCCTTCGAGGCACATTATATCTAATCGCGCCTGGTGCAAAGGTAATTTGATTTTCCTACTCGACTGTCGCTGACATTGCACCGACGAAACTCAATGATCATTAATCAACGATCATTCCGAACCTACCCAGCCACTCTCGATAACAACAAAGAATCTTGGCGCTCCAAACATCGACCCGTTTTCCAACATTCTTTCGAAATTTCATTTGCAACTCGATCGCGCAATTCCTTCGCCGTAATCACAATAGTTTCGCACCGAAACTTGTTTCTTTATCGATCTACGAATCATCTTTCGTCCATAAATCCCAACCATCGCGAGATCAAGTTATTAGTAATATCGCTCGATAATTTCACAACTTATTCAAACCCGTTCGCCAGCTTTTTCCGTTCGTTACCGTTAATTACCGCGAAGACACCAAACGCAACGTAATTCGATGCGACCGTACACTTTGTCGAGGAAAACTCGCACGACAAAATCGATTACGACACACGTTAATTATCGATGGTAAAACGAAAAGCTATCGACCGTTCGTTAGGCGTCTGCGTTCTACTAATTACAGTAACGTCGTAATCATTTACTTGCGCCTTCTGACTCCGCGATTCCGTCGAAACGACGAAATTAGATTGCTTTGCAACGGTTGCTTCGCGCGTCGTACACCGTAAAGTAAAGTAAAGTAGTTTTTCCGGTAAAGTCGATTACGAACTATCGGGGACTCTGTTGTTCGTTTATAATAAATGTACCGGTTGTGGAAATTAATCGTGCTCTGAAATTTGTACACGATACTTTTAGATACATTATCCGAGGGGTAGCAATGAATTTGTGCGATTACTTGATTAGTTCTTTCATTTATCGACGATTTTTCTCGTGAAATTTCGGTGAAAGATAAAAGAAACAAAGAAAGAAATCCGATTGTTACTCTCTTTGCGACAAACTCCAGAAACAATGTAATACTTTTTTCTCTCTCTTTTTCACATGCATAAAGAATATACAGGGTGTCCCAAAAGTCGGGGAGGAGCCGGAAATGGGGGGTAGCTGAGACGATTCCGAGCAACAATTTCCTTTGCAGAAATGTCGGATGAGGCTTCGTTCAGGAGATATTAAGCGAAAACACCGACCAATCAGAGCGCGCGTAGACCGTTGGAGCGGCCGCGGTAGCGAAGGCTACGCGCTGGCGGCCGCGCTTGCGCGCGAACAAGTGACTCGACGCGCACCGAAGGACATCGACGCTGCCGCCTAGCGCGTAGCCTTCGCTACCGCTCGAACGGTCTACGCGCGCTCTGATTGGTCGGTGTTTTCTCTTAATATCTCCTTAACGAAGCCTCATCCGACATTTCTGCAAAGGAAACTGTTGTTCAGAATCGTCTCAGCTATCCCCAATTTCCGGCTCCTCCCCGACTTTTGGGACACCCTGTAATGATGGGACAGCCCACGCGCGGTTTCGTGCCGAAGGCGTTCGCCAAAATTTTCGAACCGCCGCCATATTTTTTTTTTTTTTGTTATCTCAAATAATTTGTCACGTGTTCATTAAACCGTTCTCTTTAGTACGTGTCAAAACATAAAAATATCCAGCGAGGAGACGGGTCGCTTACCAGTCCCATGGACCCGGCTACGAATCCTTCGCGTGTCTCAATTGTTTTTCACCAAACTTTTCACTTTGTTCGAGACCAGTCGAAAATTTAATCGCCACATCCCTTCGATTTAATCGTAATTCCACGTCAGGCTCCGTTCGAAAACTGTTCACCGCCATTCTCGTCGATCTGGTCTACTCAATCGAAGTCGAAGAGCAGCGTACGCGAACTCGTCCGAGGAGAGGGAAGTCGATCGAGCATCTTCGCGGACTTGTCATCGATTTGCACGATCGTTCGAAACCGAAGTCGGTTAAAAAAGCGAGGCGCGTTTAACGAGGCTCGAAATTCCATGGGTAATCAGGACGAAGCGTTATCGTCGCGAGTCGATTGGAATTAATGAAAATTGACTCATTGCCGCTATCTATACGGCGTCGTGTTGGCAACCGAGAAGATAGGATGCTTTTCTTTCATCTCGCGGCGTTGTCGGTTATCGCTATCGTCTCTCGTAATACCGAAACCGCGGGTCGACCGTTACGTCAGACCAATTAATTTGTTCTGCCTTCGTTGCTCGTCGACCGAGCACCGCTGCGCCCGGAATTAGGAAAAAGACGACGATACTAAGCTCCCGGTTGATTGACTACAGCGGCGGCTTCATCGCGCCACGCAAAACGCCGCTAGCGGGGAGCAAAATAAATATCGATAACGACGATTACGATCGAACGCAGAATTTCGATCGTCTTAGTCCCGTTAACGTTGTTCGCGGTGTTTATGTATTTCGCAGGTGAACGCGCGCATAACGTTATTCGACGTGACGAGAATTTAACAAATTATTTACAGAATTTCGTTCGTACTTATTTCTATCGTGATCCCGAAGACACGTTCTCGATCGAATGGAAAAATATTTCACGCGGTACTAAATTGAATAATCCACGAAACAATTGTACGCAATTTGTACAGCCAAGTATAGAAATTTAATTGCCACACTGTATTAATTTCATAATGGCCGATGCCCGTATATGTTGAAATAAATAAATAAATAAATAAATAAATAAAAAATTTTGAGAATTGTCGTTTGACCAGTCGTGGTAGGTTTAGTTAGACCTCGCCCTTGCGCAATTATGCAATTACCCTGGTACGACACCGTTCGGTTCGTTGTTTCCGTAATGGAGACGTAACGGTGATAGTAACCGTAACACCAATCGTAACTGCGAATCGTACTCGGAATTGTTTAAATACAAAACGTGAAAATCTCCGCGAGGATCGTAGTCGTTATCTGGTAGTCGTTATTTGAAATACAACGCGGTCTCGGCTCGCAACGCTCGCGCAGATAAAGAAATTTCACCGCGGCAGACAATCGGAATCGAACGCGCATCGCAGCTGTTGTTTTCCGTCGAATTTAACGCGTCGCGAAGTTGGTTGACTCGTTTGCTTCAGCGACACTAATCGATACGCGGAAAACGACACGTGCTTTATGCTCGTCGGCCAGGTTTTAACGCATGGTCCAGTTATGTCGCGCGCGTTGCCAACTCCCGCTAACAGCTTTCTATGGGCCCCGTCCTTTTTGTGTCAGGATAGTTAAATCACGCGCCCTTTTGTTCTACCTCGCGACGCGACGAAAGTTGCTCGATTCGACGCGAGAAGCAATAATAAAAGTTGAAATTTTATCGTTGAAACGTTCCAAACGAGTTCCGTCTATTCTATTTGGAGAGGCCTAACATTCACAAAATTATCTTTTCTGATGCACTCGCAATGTTATTATTATTATTATTTTTTTTTTTTTTTTAAATGAAACAATCTTTTGTTTTGGGAAGAAAGTATTTATTTTCAGTGCTTGTTATATTCAACCTAGACGTTCCTACAACCTGATGTACCTGCCAAGTGCAATATTAGTATTATTTTTATTATTTTAATGAAACGATCTTCTGTTTTCAGATTAACGTTTAAGAAATTTCTTTTTTCATGGGAATAACGATGCGTTTTTGTTGGTGTGTTCCAGTGCTTTTAATATTCCATCCAGTGGTTCCGAAGAGCTGTCCCTTCTCCACAACGCCGTGCAAAAATGGGTCGGAAGAAGATTCAAATTTCGCGCATCACGGACGAACGGAATCGTCAGGTACGCCCTAAGAATTTTTCGTCGTGACCGAATAACAAATTGCAGCGAGGAAATATCTCGGTACAATTCGACAATCATTAATAAAAATCGAAGAACATTATAACGTAACTACAGTTGAACGGGTAACTCGATCTTCTCTCTTTAATTCTATGAGTTTTTACGTTGCGATTAATCGAAGGTTGATGCTTGCATTTAATGGTCCAATTATCTTGGAAAAAGTCCTCGTTGCAATTATTTTCGAATCTGTATCAATATCGATAGCGACGGGGGAGATATTGTATCGAACTTCGGTGATTAACGGTATTCAACATTGTAGACGCCACTAAAAACAACCTCAAACCTACTCAGACAGTATATACATTAACGATATTCAATATTGCCGCCCTCATAAAATATAATTTCAAATTTACTCAGACAGTATGTACATTAATGTTATTCAATATTGCCGGCACTCACCAAAAACTACACCAAACATACTCAGACAGTATGTACATTAACGGTATTCAGTATTGCCGCCCTCATAAAATATTATTTCAAATTTACTCAGACAGTATGTATATTAACGGTATTCAACATTGTAGACTACCAAAAACAACCTCAAACCTACTCAGACAGTATATACATTAACGATGTTCAACATTGTAGACGCCACCAAAAACTACACTAAACATACTCAGACAGTATATACATTAAAAATATTCAACATTGCAGACTCTACCAAAAACAACCTCAAACATACTCAGACAGTATATACATTTACGGTATTCAATATTGCCGCCCTCGTAAAATATTATTTCAAATTTACTCAGACAGTATCTACATTAACGGTA